ATGGCAGCTCATGGTGATGCTCCCTCCAGTATATTCATACCTGGGTTAGGTATTGACGGAAAGAAGAGAGTCGGAGAAAGGATGTGTTAAGTTTGACTCTGATTGCGCAGAGTAGATGAAGGTGTGACTCCCCGCTGGCTGACTCGGACCTCGATGACGTCCCATGGTCCACTTACGTGCACATCATGCCGACCTCTCCCATCCGGCTCTCCAATGGCAGATCATGCATCAATGCCTTCCAACCCCGGACTGGGTAACTGCCCAGTCAAAACTGGAACAATCTGGGCATCTGTCTCCAATGTGCTCCTGCTGTGGGTTTTCTCACAGTGCAGGAGTCTCAGAGCAGACTTGGAGCACGGCCTTTTGGCTTGCCCAATTCCACTGCAGGTACTATGGCGCTGGTGGGGCACATTGTGGCACAAGCTGATGGGAACATACTTCCAATGGGACATAGGCTTCAAAGTTCATACTGCTAGGCAAACATAAGGACTTCAAGTTTTCAAGAGCCATTCCAGTGCAACTACTTCAAACACACACACTTGGCCATGCCATTCATTGAGACTTGGCGCGCAGGGTGCTCCGAGGCTCAGCATCCATAGCTAGGCCAAGTACTGGTCGTTAAAAAGAAAAGAAAAAAAAAAAAAACGAAAAAAGGGGTAAGCTTCACATGCGGGCAACAAACTCGCGCGTCGAGTTCAAAAGAGCAACAAAAGCATTGTTACCTGCGCACCGAGTTTGAAAAGGGCAACGAACTCAGGCGCCGAGTTTGGAAATGGCAACAAAATCACACACGCGAGCCACAGCCATTTTTACTGATATCGCCCTTTTCAACCTCCGCACCCGATTTCACTGCCCACACTTTTTTTTTTTGGCCCTTTCGAAACTGAAAGTGTGACACTGCCTGACTTGTTTCCAAAAGAAAACTTTAAGGTTGTCTTGATTGCAAGCCGGGAACCGGGCCCGGCGTCCCTTACATAGTTTGCCGCAGCTTCACGGAGCAAAGCGAGGCACTGCCGGCCAAGCCTAACCCCTGCCACGGCTCGGCAAGAGCCCTAGGTTGTTGCCTGAGAACAGAAAGGATAAAACACAAGTCCTGCAAAGAAAGAAAAGAACAGAAAAAGAAATGAAAGAAAAAGTTTACCTCCTAGTCTGCCTCCTAGTCTCACCACGAAGCCACACAGAGGATGCAATCCGTCAAGCAAGAGCAACCAAAATCCTACCTGCAAAAGTCCCATGGTTCAAATCTGCCAAACCTGTATCGTATCTCAATTGACCAATTGCCTATCTACCTACAAATGTTTGCAAAATCCTATTTGTATTGTAAATTGCCTCCATGTCACGTCTCGGGTTTGGAATGGCAAAAAAGACGCAAAAAAATAGGTGTACCCTTTTTTCGCCCTCTCTGAATTCAGGCCATCTGATCATATGACAGCCTGCCCCTCTAGTTATGACATCTGCGCTTATAAGGGCCTACTCACACTACAGTCTTCCCCCGAATACAACGCACGGTCATTATAGCTGAATTTGGTCTATCATGCAGTCTAAATTCAGCTATAATGACCGTGAGTTGTATTCGGGGGAAGACTGTAGCTAAGCGACTTTTATGGCCAAAAGCTAGCTGAAATTTGATTGATGGTTGGAGGCAGGGAAACTTGGAAAGTGGCAAAAGCAGCAAAGACCTGGCGGCCCGGTTTCCAGCAGGTGAAGCTCCCCACCAATAGATGGAGCATGTTTAAAATAATAAAAAATAAAAAAAATAAAAAAAAGCAAGGACCTGGCGGGCTGCAGGGAAGGGCATTTTGCTACCGCGTCTGGCGGTGGTGGCAAATTTTATTTTTCAGTTCGAGAGTTTGTGAACGGAGATTCGAAACGAGCTTCGTTGAGGGGAAAAAATTGGACGGAGTTGGGCCTCGCACTGTGTGACCACTGGAGGCACCACTTTTTCAATTGCCTGAAAGTCCGGCTCGTGTCTTTTGTGATTTGCTGCCGCTCTGTGAGGTCGCATTTCGGCAAATTTGGGATTTATAGCAAAATTCGCAGATCTTGCTGCTATGCCATCGCTGTGTGAGTACGCCCTTAGCTAACAAAGTGCCATCATGGAGCTTTTATTGCCCTTTTAAATTCGGCCAGCGAGAGACCTGCTGGTACATGTTTTTTTTGCCCATTCCGAACCTGGGTTGTGCGTCTTGTGACTTGAACATACATGTTTTCGGGGGGGGTCTTGGCTCTCGCATTTAGGGGGCCTAATGTTACAGGGGGGCGATGAGTACGTATTGGCCTTTTTCTGAGATCAGGTCACGGTGGTTTGTGTGATGAGATGGGAAGATTTGAACTGTGGTTTTTTCCTTTTAGTTTACTATAGATAGTTATTTTTGTTGGGTACCTGCGTATGTTTTTTTGGGTTTCGGTTCTGGGTTTTCGAACTTGCGACGTATGTTTTTGTAATGTGGAAACCTTTTCGGCGCGGCTGTGTGGATGTTCTATCGGTTATGTCGAGGATGACTGACGAAAGTACGGTGGTCTGTGGGGAGAATTTCTGAGATCAGATATCGTCGGTTTGTGTCGTGAGATGGGAGGGTTTGAACTCTGGTTTTTCCTTTTAGTTTATTAATAGATAGTTATCTTGTCGGGTACCTGCGTATGTTTTTCCTGGGTTCGGTTTCTGGGTTTCGAACCTGCGACGTATGGTTTTTTAGTTGTAATGCGGAAACTTTTGGTGCGGCCGCGTGGATGTTCTACCGGTTATGTCGAGGAAGACTGACGAACTCTCTGTCCAGTTAGTATATATAACGAATAGATAGTCAGTGTGTCCTACAGCCGACTTCGCCGGGCGGGAGGTTGCTTTCGTTACGAGTCTTCACGTTTATTCTGTCATGCGGAAGTTCTCCCGTTATTTTTGTGCTTTACGTCTATTTTTCAATCAAAAAGTCGTGTTCGGGGACACTTTGTCTACTGTTTGTTCTTTCTTATCGTCTATCCTCTGTCTACCCCTACCTCTGTGTGGTGTGTGCATTGAGTTGAAGTTCCTTGCCATTTTCGATCTTGCGTATGCTTGTTATACATACTTTGTCTCCCGAAGGAACCGACGTAGGAGTTATACTACGGTTGAGTGACTTCGTACACTAGACAATGGCGTCGAACGGAAATCCTAATGTACCTCCGGTTCAGAATTGTTATAACTGTGGTCAACCTGGCCACATCTCCCGTTTTTGCCCTCTTCCAGATCGTAGACTCAATGGTGGTCAACAGTCTGTCAGCACTGCGATTGTCCCTGCTCAGCCCTTAGCAACCTATCCGTCAACCTCTAATGTTGGTACGTCTACTCCATATTACTCGGGCCAGTATAACAACGGAGGTGGGGGAAGTGGGTTAGGAAGGCGTGTTAGTTCGTTGGAAGAAATTGTGGGTCGGATCAACAGCAAACATGAAGCTGATGCAGCGAGAGAAAGCCAAGCAGGAGGAAGAAGAACGAAGCGGGAACAGGAAGAAGATGATCGTCGTCAAAAGGAAAGGAAGGAACGGGAGGAGTTTCAATCCTCCATACGTCTGGAGTTGTCAACGAAACTCGATGTGGTTCGCGAGGCAGTTAATGGGAAGAAGGCCAGTGATGTGGATGAAATTGCCAAGCTGCGGATGCAAATCGAGATGTTATGTAAACAGAAGGAACCTGCCATGGACAGGAAGAACACCGATAGTGAAGAAGTGCGGAAGTTGAGAGCTCGGGTTGAGGAGTTACAACGGGCGGCTAGCACGTCGGCTACGGGACCGATGGGCAACACAGATGAGTTGGCTCGGCTTCGGAGGGAGCAACTCGATGTGAAGACGGCTACCGAGAAACGACTCGCAAATCTGGAGGAGGTCATTTTTGCTTTGCAAAAACAATGTGAAGTTGCTGAGGCAAACGCGGAAGCTTGGAAGAGTGAAGCTCTGCGTCCGGGCAATAAGCGTGGTTCGGTGGCTATCGGTCAGACTCTGACGACAGATGCCGGGGTTCGTCCTCGTGTTACTCCTGCAGTTCGGCCTCGCGTTACTCCTGCGGCGTCACCATGTGCAGCAGGAACAGTCAACCTGCAGATTAAGGCGATAGTAGAGAGACATCAACAGGAGGTTGAATTATTGAAGGAGATGCGTCTTCGTGAGGTCAACGCACGGAAGGCGTCCGAAGATGAAGTCGAGAGACTGAAGGAATCACTAGCAAAACTCGAGACAGGAAGGAAAAGAGGAGGAACCAATTTGAAGTCTAAGTTGGATGAAGCTGCTGGTGCATCTACGAAGAAGGATATGTTGAAAGTGGCGGCCTCTCCGGTGGTGTTAGTGAGTCAACGAGAAGCAACGTTGAGGGACGAGAGAAAGAAGCTTCGGAATTTGAAAAAAGATGAAGTTATGGCGATCTGTGAAAAAAGGAGTCGTGTATACGAAACTTGAGACTACAAAAGAATCGATCGCACAGGCCCGAACTGATAGGGCGATCGAGGAAGAGGATCAGAGCCAAGATGTTGGGAAGGTCAACTCTGTGGTGAATGTGTCCGAAGATGGGGGTGGAGACTCAGACAAAGGGGAAGGGCGTGAATCGAGCTCTTCTTAGGGTCTTGCCCCGACGCGGCTCTATTATGGCAAGTTGTTCGTGTGTGTTGTCGGCTTCGTTATTATGATATTTGGTGGCTTCGGAGCAAAGAGGTAAACGTGTTACTTAACATTGCGTTATGTGGACTTATTTCTCTTGGCGAAATTTCGTGGTGCCGTAAGTTGAGTGATTTTCTGTTTGCCTCTATTTCTTCCTCTCGTGGTCAAGATATTGACGAATGGAGTGACCCTATTGTTTATGCGTTGATTTCACCGTGGTCTCGTCATATTTATGTTGGTAGTACTGGTCGAGACTTGCATTGTAGATGGAGAAAGCATGTCTATAGGGCTATAGGGCTTGTCAGCAAAAAGTTGTAGATGGGGGTAGGAGGAATGAAAAACTTTACCAATGGTTGCGACGTTGTGGAATGTATACGTATGCAATTGTTCCTTTATGTGAAATTATGTCGTTGCAGTAAGGATGATTTGTTGGAAACCGAAAAAAAAAATATTCGGTTATTGTGCCCGGCCCTGAATACTCGGGATAAGCCTAAACGTTTGCGAAGATGTAGAACTGGATTGAGAGAGAGGTTACGGAGAAGAAAGGGTGGTGATGTTGTGTCTGCTAAATTGTCAGGATCTTTGGTTGACGGGTGCGGTTTAGTATGTACGTTCCATGGAGAAAACGAGGAGAGTTCCGTGAGTCTACTGCGGTTGTTGAAGGATTGTACTGAGAAGAAAATTTGGTGTTTAACAGTCAAATGTACGGGTGGCTGCAGAGTGGTGGACCGTTGGAAAGTTCTGAAAAGGCTATTCGGGGGAAGTCTCGTTTCATGTGAATTCGGCGTGAAAGAGCTACGGTACGCCCGTGAATGGCTTAAGGGCGGGTTAACTCTAAGATTCGATCCTGTTATTCCATTCTTGAGTGGATCGTTGACTTTGAAAGTTCCGCTTGCGGGGTTCTTGAAGAATCCAAGTAGTAGGGTTGATCTGAGATTCTGGGATCTTGATGATTTGATTGCTGGTTTTACTGTTGTTCGCACTTTCAGCGATAAACGCACACGATGTCGGTTACGGTGTATGTTGTCCCGCTGTATTCTTTCTAGATTCAATATCCATGTGCGAAAAAGGATCGTGATTAGGCTGGTGTATGATGATAAGCTTTGTAAGTCAAAGGTTAGACAACTATGTGCACGAATCATTGCTGGTATGAACATTCAAGTATGCTGGAAGAACATGTTGGTTCGACGGATGCGAATTGTGTGGTGCAAGAACAAAAGTGTAGGTGATATTCTACATAACTTTGGACAGGCTGCGAGAGTAGGTTAGGCATGTTGTTCATGTATTACTGCTGATGAACGCCTGCCGCGAACCGATGGGCACGTTTCGTTTCGTGTCAGTGAAGCCGACAATATTTTTCTGATTTGGACTCATAACTCACGGAACATACTTCATCCTTCCAGTAGATGTAAGGTAAGCGGTCTTCGACTGCAGATACTTTCCTCCTTCTCCTCTCACTCTTCCCTTCCTGCGGTTGATCGGAGATGTGTAACTAATCACGACGTGGAGAACTGTTACATAAATCACCCCGCGGACGATGTACCACATAAGAGTGTTGATGATTTGGATGGTATCAGTGAGCTTCTGTCTAAATTGGTGTGCAGTCCCATAGATCACAATTTGGCTGACTCTTTTGTGTGTTGCCCGGTGGTATATGAACGCGGTATGAAGAAGTTGTTTCTTGAGAACCCATCGTTCAGATTGTGTACTGAGGAGGAGAAGATGGTGTTGGGAAAAAGTGCAAGAGATTATATGACGAAAGGTTTACAAACAATGGGTCGATGGAATAACAAAGGCCGAATTGGGGAGGCATACTGCATCCCAAAACACAAGGATGTGACAAGATGGAGACCTATTTGCCCATCTTATGTAGAGTGCTCGGTTACAGGAAGTCGGGTAGCATCTCGGGTGGTGAATGCCTTATTATGGAATCTGCCAGGCAATAACAATTTGAACCTTCGTAGTGCCGACGGATTGTTGAGCGAGATCAAGAAGGTGAATGAGGGACTGTCAAAAAAAAGTGTTCTTTTGGGCGCGAGCTTCGATGTGAAGGAAATGTTTTCTAACCTTCCACATCTATCGATCATGAGAGCCTTGTTGTGGGTGGTTGATTTTTGGAAGAAGAAAGGTGTGAAGTTTGTGGGTGTTCGGAGTCATGGGAAGGGTGCGAAGTTACTGAAAGGGAGGTGTGACTTGGGATGGAAAAATGTAGAGCTGGATTCCGTTATATCTTTTATATCGTACGAATTAAGCAATACTTATGTGTTTGCTGCGGGGCGATTGTTGCAACAGGAGGTGGGGATTCCGATGGGCAAGTCGTCTAGCTCTGCGCTAGCCTGTTTGTTGTATGCGTTTAACGAATTTTTGTTTTTATCCAGCCTGGGTAATGACCGGAAGTTATTTCGGGGTTTCAAATTGGTAGACGATATATCGGTTTTCGTTGTCTGCAAGAAAGGAGACAGGTGTTCCTTAAGAAAAGGATACAACTTGATTGACTCGTTTAGCCGCTGCTACGATAGTAACCTAGTACTGGAACGCACGAGCTCAGGTGATTGTTGGGACTACCTCGGTTGTGTGTTGAAGCTCTTTGGCGGAGCTAATGGGTTACATTGCTTTCCCTTGATGAAAAATCAGAAGGAGGATGGTGTGTTGAAGTTTCGGTGTATTTGTGACGCACGTGCCGAGGGCACGTGCGGAGATGGTGAGAGAGAGAGAGAGAGGAGATGGACACACACGAGAAGCAGCAGCTGAGTGAAGGTCCAGTCCGGCCAATGAACGAACGTACAGCTGAATGAATGAACCCCCCGCCTTGGGCCTAGGCCGAAGTGATATACCGGCCTAGGTCCAGGTACGGAACAAACTGGTACCGGACCAGGGTCAGGCCGGTGGCCTGAAACTGGTCCGGCCTCACTGCCGGGCCGTAGGGGTACCGCTCCACGATCCTCGGACCTGTGAATGGATCAAGCGATACATCAAACATGCTATTTGCTGAAATAGCGGAAACCCTAGATGCGGAGCAGGCTCCATGCAGGAAAAGGTATGCAATGCAGACTAAGCCTCAAGCCTAATCTATACAACAATGTCTGGTCTGGGTCGACCCAAAAAGCAGAAAGGTGTCTGACCTGTGCCGGCCACGAAAGAGAAAAATGTCTGACCGGTGTCGGCCAAGAAAGAGAAAAATGTTTGACCTGTGTCGGCCAAGAAAGAGAAAAATGTCTCATGAGCCAAATAGGCTGAATATAAATCAACACCAGGGCCCTAAAGGCCAAAGAATAACTAAACCAATGTCCTAAGTCGAAAACCAATGTGGCACAGTCTCACGTGCCCTGTACACAATGCACAATACCTGATCAAAGGAGAAGAGAACTCAGTCGCATGGCAGAGGTAGGAATGGGTGGGAAGGCGGCAGGTACAGCTCTCAGAGTAAACTCCAAGGGGGCACCCACACAAGTAGGTAAGGGTCATCAGGCTCAGAGGGAGAGTAACAGCACGACACCGGACTCAATGGAAACCATCAAACGGGTACCGCCAGTTGAAGGGGGGAAAGACACTCACACAAGGGAGCACACATAAGGTGAGCCTGGAAGGAGAGAGGGCTATGCCAGCATAGACATGTGGCCAGAAGCCACGAGCAAAGAAAACGTACACTCCTGAGGAGGGCTCTCAGCATAAGGTAATGCAGAAAGGCGGCAAGCGGACACACCCACATAAATAGGGAAAATAGGGGTCATCATGCGACTGAAGGTAAGCTCGAGGGTGGTGGAAAGGTGGGAATGATGAGAACTATGTAGCCGAAAATGGTGAAGTAGTCCAACTGATGAGTCTCCAGACTAAAGTCGAACCGAAGTAGCCTGGATGAAGTAAGGGTACTGCAAGAACCGAGTAGAAGTTCGGAACACAGCGAAAGGTACTTTTGTACTGAGGAGAAGCACTGAGGTCGAAAGTCGAATGTAGAAGCCGAAGTAGAAGCCGAATGTAGAAGCCGAATGTAGAAGCCGAATGTAGAAGCCGAATGTAGAAGCCGAATGTAGAAGCTGAAACCGGGAGCTGCTGCATAAGTGTCCAGGAATGGTAAAAGATAGAGAGKGTATGGGGGATATAGATCAGTCACGAAAACGAGAAGKARGTCGATGGGTACGCTGAGGGYGAGAGGAATGAACTGCAACAACAGGCGGAACCACAGCCACAGGGGAAGGAGGACCTGAGGCGGGTACCGGTGGAGCAGGCGGACCCATCGATGGAGGAGGAAGAATGTTAGTGGTCGCATAGGTAGAAGGGTCAGTAGTGGAAGGACGAGAAGTAGGAGGGGAGGATGATGAAGGGAAAGGATGAGCACGATCGTAAGCACGCACGAAAGTCATAGCATGCTTCAGGTGCTCAAGAGGCTCCCAAGTAGACTCCTCGTCAGGATAACCCTTCCATCGAACGAGATACTCGAGGCGGGGACGGTCACCGTCAGTCATACGTCGGGACGCAATATCAGAGACGACAAACTCCTCGTGACCCTCAATGATGATGGGAGAGGGGCGAGGGTAAGGTAGACCATGGAACTCGGGGGGAGACCGCCTGAAGAGGCGCAAAAGAGATACATGGAACACATCATGTAAGTTAGCGCGGTACATGGAATCGGGGAACTTCAATTTGAAGCTCACTGGACAGCCGTGATTGGGTCCGACAGGTGCAAAAATGGTGTATGGTCCAATATATCGACGTCTGAATTTCCGAAGTGTGTCAGCTTCGGGCTGGAAGTGACGAGCGTCGACAAGAACCTCGTCGCCAACTTTGAAGGGATGGTCGATGCGAGAGCGGTTAGCGCGAGTGGCCATGCGAGTTTGGGAGTGAGCAATGCGCAAGCCTTGCTAAGGAGTGCATCCATCTCCTTTACCCAGTCATCGAGGGCAGGGCATTTGGTGTCGGGATGAATCTGAGATGGACGAAGAAGGTCAAATGGGACACGGGGATGGTATCCCAAGTCACAGT